ATTACATAATAGGCGAAACATAAGTTTATTTTTTAAATATGATAACATGTTCTAGGTATTTTCTAGGTAGGAAATTCTTCACTCGTCAATCTATTTTTATACTTATGTAGTATGTTGAATATTAGTATATCATCTTCAGCCATGTTTTGTCAACAAGAATGATATGTAGCCGAGCGATGATTTTAATATCTAAAATTAATTATATTAATGTTATTTTCTAACATCTAAATATATGCGCTAAAATCGACTTTGTGTACGTGTATATATAAAAATCAAGGTACTGATTAACTGTAATGATTTTAATTTGTATTATTATAAATTTGTACTGTTACGTTTTTTTTTAATTTAATCTTATAAATGTGTGATAATCTCATTACGTGAATTATTATTTAATTTATGTTATGATAACATTTACAGTTATAATCTATAATCTGGTTGCATATGTACATGTATACGTAAAAATATATGTATATGCGTATATATTGTATACAGTGTGATTCAGACCATTCGGAGGAACCGGCACGTATGCATTCCTCATGAAAAAGTGAGTCGAAAATGTCAATAACAAAATGTTGTGGGGTCAAAGTTTTTAAATGGTGAGCCTTTGAAACCTTCCAATCACAAGACATGAAGTCGCGCCGTCAGGTGCGGCGCAACCAAGCGCCGGCTGTGCGAGCGCTTTGATGGATACCGCTAAATCGCATGATGCCGAATGAGTATTGCAAAAGTTTTGAAAGCTTTATTAACATCTACTGCTGTATGTTTAAATTGAGTCCAATTTAATTGACGAGAAGTTGCAATTGCAAATTCGATTATCATCATTTATATCAATAAAAGAGTATGTACTTTTCAAATATTTTAAATAATAAACAAATTAATGAATAAAATCAATATTAATTAAATTATTTAAATAAATAATATTAAAAACATCAGTCGACAAACATTTCCAAAATTGGTTTACAAAAGTTCTGTTATAAACAATATTAGAGAAAATGTACATTTGAAAATTCGCATTCGATATAAATAACTGTTTCATATTTAAGGAATGAAATAAACGAAATTCCGAAAATTACAATGTGAGAGGAAAGGAAAATATTACAGTGAAGGAATCGGAGTAAGCAAATATTAAGCTGTTGTATAAAAAATTATATTTTAAATAATGTTTTAAACATTTTTATAGGAAGTGTTCGAAATGGCCACCTATTTGAACACAAAGTTGAGCACGTGACAAAACTCTAACAAAACTCTCTATCTCGATTGTTGTATCATTTCAGGCGTGACAGTTGCAAACGCTTCATGAATTTGATCATCCAATTCTTGAAGAATATAATGAGAGAAGAGTATAATGAGAGAACAGTATGAAAAGAGTATAATAAGAGAAGAGTATATTAATATCATTTAATTAAATAGTTTAAATAATATTGATTTTATTCATTAATTTGTTTATTATTTAAAATGTTTGAAAAATTCACACTTTTTTACAGATATAAATGATGTTTGCTTATAATCGAATTTCCAATTGCGACGTTATTTTTCGTCAATTAAATTAGACTCAATTTAAATTAGACTAAATTACATACAGCAGTAGATGTTAATAAAGCTTTCAACACTTTTGCAAAACTCATTCGGCATCGTGCGATTTAGCTATATCCATCAAAGCGCTCGTACAGCTGGCGCTTGGTTGCGCCGCACCTGACGGCGCGAACTTCACATCTTGCGTGATTGGAAGGTTTCGAAGGTTCACCATTTAAAAACTATTGACCTCACAACATTTTGTTATTAACATTTTCGACTCAGTTTTACATGAGGAATACGTATGTGCCGGCTCCTCCGGTTGATTTGAATCACGCACACACACACACACGCGCGCGCGCGCGACGAGAGATGGAGGGAGAGGATGGGAGAGAGGAGTGAGAGAGAGGAGGGTGAGAGAGAGGGGGAAGGGAGGAGGGAGGAGAGAGGGGCAGAGATTACACAGAAAGTAAAACAGAAATTTCATTAAACAGAAAAAGGATAAAACGGTAGAATTATATATAATCTTACATTGCAAAAAGTAGCCATTGTTAGTGGAAAAATCTTTCCTGCAGTGATACACAATGGATATTTGGCTCGTATCATTAACAAAATAAGATTTCTTGCCTTACTTGGTTCCAATTTGTACCATTCAAGATCGCACATTGCACGATATACAGCATTGCTCTTAATGAACGTGTACGAGAAAATATATTTATATTCATGCCATTTTAATGAGGATTATTTCCAAAAGTATTAGTAATAATTGATTGAAATTTAATTAACTCTCATTTCTTGTTAAAAAAAAGAGTTTTAAACAGAAAGATATTATACAACTTGAATGAATTTGCATTCTATTAACTTTTATTCAGAATTGGACGTTTAATATGCATAAATGTATAAGAAAATAAATTATTAATAGTTTTTCCTAATAATGCGATAGCAAATTTGATTATAAACAACATTATAACAATATAAGCAAAAAAATATAGATAAACAGATATATAAAAATTAAATTAAATAAAGTATAAAATATAATAAACTTATTTATATACAACACTACTAATACACATTATACGTATAACTTACTTGCTCTGTCATAAGCTCTCCTGCTCCACAAAAGAGAAAAGTAGTCATCAATAACATAACAAGAAATATAAGTAAGAAATATCCTTTCGCGATATCAGCTTTACCTACATTTTCGTCTGTAAAGATCTAAAATATATGAATTATAGGAGAGCACAACGAAGCATACTACGCCTGTTATAAAATATTTTCTCATATTTATTTTACTGAATCTTACAATAGTAAATGAAAAACCGTTTAAGCAAAATACAACACCAAAATGAAATATCAATGCTAACATCATTACACAATATGTATTTTCGATATTGTCGGCAAATCTATAAAAATAAAAAGATTTAAAAGGGTTATTGTATTAAATCAATAAAACATTATATATACGTATATGTATATATATGTATATGTACATTCGGAAATGTATATACCTTTATATAAACAGGAATTTAAACATAAAAAATAAATAGGTTATCCTTTATTCAATATTATTTGATATATCGTATATCTAATTAAATGTTTGTAATAAAAGTGCACAAAAATTATGTAATCGTTACTTTATATGCTAATAAGAATATTTTTTACAAACACGTTTTATAACTGCAAATTTGGAAACAAAATGTAATAAAGTTTTTAATGAATGTGATCACCGAATTGGGAAATATCGAGAAAATGTACGTCATATCTCATTCCACATATATTAAAAATTAATCGTCATAATAAATATAAATGAATTAATTCGCCTAATAAATATATATGTAGATAAAAAATTTTAACGTTCAAAGATTAAGACAGATTTGTAAAAAAATATTTTGAATAAGGCTTCTAAATTAATTACGTTAAACTTATGTCCTATCACAATAAAAATTCATACCTGATAAGACGTAAATGAGTTTTTATGATGTTGTTTAAAACTTCATTGTAATTTTTGCATGAAATCAAATCAATTAATCGGCATCTAAAGTTTTCTAACTGGCCACAAATGTGAAGAATTATTAAAATTAGAAAAATATCTATACACATGTAAATGGAACCTCCTACTAAGACCGTAAGGCTATGAATGAAAAATGTCAATTCAAATTGCGGACTCTTATCTGCATTATAAGAATGATACGTCTTCATCGGTAACAGTTTGCTCACACCCGTGAAATTCGTTAATACATATAGTACTGGAAACCCAAAACAAGGTGGAATGATTATTGCGAGAACCGTTAATACTATGAAAACATATCCAATCATCATAATTAATCGTGCTGTTTGTGCTCGTTTTATCATCACATTTCTTTCTTTATCTTGCTTCAATGCTATCCAATCTTCCGCCATCATGTTTACAATTGACAGTACAACTTAAAAATATAAATATCTTTAGGTAAAACATAAGTATTGCTGAAGGCGCTAAAATAGTGAATTATTCGAAAATATGTTGCTATTAGTGAACCACCGCATAAAAAAAAAAATTATACATATTTTATGATTTATTTTTATGTATGTCGGTATGTATTATAAGAGTAAATCATACACAATTCTTTATTATAAGCCATAATATATTTGTAATTACAATTATTTGTGGTAAGACGATTTAACGGAATATATAAATGAATATTTTATTTTATATAATTCTGGACATACCTGTTTGTTTCTGTCGCATGATGGCGTATTTCACTGTTGTTAACAGTTGTGATAACGTTGTATGTAAAATATCTATTACAAGTATCATATTACCCCAAACTTCTATAACTGCATATATCATCGGAACATTAGAAACAAATATTAATAAAATAAAAATGATGACGACCCAAATTTCTGGCCACAAACTTTTCTTGGTACATTTGTTAGGTTTAGGCCACAAGCCCAACATTTCAAATCCAAAACGATGTAGATTAACTGCCCACAAGAAATCTAATAATTTTTTACAATATAAGCGATTAGAATAAAATAATTGCAAATTAACTTTTAAATTATTAAATGTTTATACGGAACAAAAGTTAACGGTAATGCCACATCTCAAAGTTATATTTACAATACAAAGTTATATAAATTTATTTACTATACATATTAAACACGGATAATACTGTAGCACATGAAATTAGTACCCTTGTATCCTCGAGATTTCGTAATGTCCATGTCGAAAACTATAACATGAAGATCTTGTTCCTTCAATGCTATGATATAGAATGATCATCACGCATGCTCTTCATATAAATGCGGATTGCATGACACTAAATATTAAAAATGTTATCCGTAATTATAGCTACTGATATTGCCAGAGAATTTTATAAACGTTTTAGTTACAAAAAGCATTTATGTCTGGTCTAATAAAATATGAGACAAAAAGAAAAGATATTTTATCACATCGTAAGTTCGCTTGAAAAGTTTTTTTCATCTTGCATATCGCTTCATTATGTATGCATCTACTGCGAAACGAGAAATAACACTATTGCATTTTTAATATGACTTTCTACAGCCACTAAAATTCTACTAAAGAAAAGAAATAATATGAAATTGTGCATTATGTGTATCTTCAAATGTCTTTTTCGAGGACATATCGATTGTTACATGAAACGTGAGGGATTGTAATATTATTTAGACTATACCATAAGTATATTATAATTCATACTTCACAATTGTATTTCCAATGATGACATTTCGGTGCCTCAAACTGTAATTTTATAACGTATGTCGTGATCAATGATCTAGCAACATTCTTGCAATGAGATAACCAATTTGTTCTGACATTTTTCTGTTCACCGAAGGTAAGATAACCGATCAATTCTTTTCTTAAAATTGAAGTAAGTGATAATAAAATTGACATGGATGCACATAGTTACATTCATCTACTATGTTGATTTGATAAAACATGAATAGCACTAAAAATTGATGAAACATTATCATTATACATAATCTAAAAACAAGTATTAAAGAGACATTTATTTTATAATTTTCTACTACAAATTCCTAGTGTTATTTATAATAAACAACAATTACATAATAGGTGAAACATAAGTTTATTTTTTAAATATGATAACATGTTTCTAGGTATTTTCTACGTAGGAAATTCTTCACTCGTAACTATGTAAATTGTAATCATGAATCTTTTTTACACTTATGTAGTATGTTGAATATTAGTATATCATCTTCAGGCATGTTTTGTCAACAGGAACGATATGTAGCCGAGCGATGATTTTAATATCTAAAATTAATTATATTATTGTTATTTTCTGACATCTAAATATATGCGCTAATATCGACTTTGTGTATGTGTATATATAAAAATCAAGGTACTGATTAACTGTCATGATTTTAATTTGTATTATTATAAATTTGTATTGTTACGTTTTTTTTTTAATTTAATCTTATAAATGTGTGATAATCATTACGTGAATTATTATTTAATTTATGTTATGATAACATTTACAGTTATAATCTGTAATCTGGTTGTATATGTACATGTATACGTAAAAATATGTGTATATGCGTATATATTGCATACAGTGTGATTCAGACCATCCGGAGGAACCGGCACGTATTCCTCATGAAAAACTGAATCGAAAATGTCAATAACAAAATGTTGTGGGGTCAAAGTTTTTAAATAGTGAGCCTTTGAAACCTTCCAATCACAGGACGTGAAGTTCGCGCCGTCAGGTGCGACGCAACCAAGCGTCGGCTGTACGAGCACTTTGATGGACACCGCTAAATCGCACGATGCCGAATGAATAGACATGAGACGCTACCATTAATTTCACCTTGGGTGGCATTATCGAGGTAAAGCCAAAATCACTTTAGATTCTTTAAATGAAACCCCCTATTATTTATTAAATATTACTGTAACTTATTTCGAGAGTTTTATAGAACACTATAATAAACAATTTTTTCATTAAGGACTTTTCGAGTTAGAAGATTCGAAAGTTACAGTACCGTCGACATTAGTATTGTTCAAGGTGTCCGACCCATGACTGAAACCTATTATGTTAAATGTTATTCAGGATCATGGATTTGGATATTATTTGTGAAGATCAAGGTCATTAGAAATTGTACTTCTTATTTTCATTTTTATCTAAAAATAAATTTTTTATTCAAAAATGAAAATAAAAGTTTCAACCTCCATTGTCCTTGATCTTGGTAAATATTATCTAGGTCATGATCCGGAACAACATTTAAGAAGTTTTAATAGTTGGTCGGCCACTTTGAACAATGTTAATGTTGACGGTACTGTAAATTTTAAGCCATGTTACTCGAAAAGAATTTAACGAAAAAATAGTTTAATATAGTGTTTTGAAGAAGGTAAATAAGAATATGTAATGATAAATGGGGAGTCCTACTAAAAAAAATTCAAAGTGACCTTGCCTTGATCTCGGCAACGCCACCCAAGGTCAAACCAATAGTATCCTATGTCCCCTTCAAAGTCAAAGAATTTTTGTCTGAAACATTTTTCAATTTAACGCAGTATATTTACGCATATGCACGCTCACCCCTGTGTGTATGTGTGCGTAGATAGCAGGAGAAAGAAAGAAAGAAAAAGAGAGAGAAAGAGAGTAAGTTTGCAAGTAATACAGATTCCATTAAATATCAAAAAAGCAAAATTAATGCGAGAGAAATTTAAGTAATCTTACACTGCAAAAAGTAGCCATTGTTAATGGAACAATCTTTCCAGCAGTAATACGAAAAGGACGTTTGGCTTGCATCATTAACAAGATAAGACTTCTGGCCTTTCTTGATTCTAATTTGTACCATTCAAGGTCACACATTGCACGGTATACTGCATTACACTTAATGAATATATATAACAAAACATATTAATATCCGTGCTACTTCAATGAGAATTATTTCCAGAAATATTAGTAACAGTTTATTGGATTTTAAATAATATTTTATTTTTTGTACAAGAAATTTGAAACAGAAATATATTGTTTGACTCGAAAACTTTACATTATTGTTATTTTTCATTCGGAAACGGTCACTTAACATACAATAAATGTATAAAAAAATAAATGGTGAATGTTTACGAACTCAGGTCTGATGACTTTCACGTTAACATATGTTGTCAAGATCATTCTCTGAAGATTATTACCTTCAGAAAGTTTTAGCCTCCGCTCGTTATTCGTTCAAAAGTTATTAACAAAGAAAGTTGACAATGTAAATTAACGTATTTATTAACGTATTTAATTTTATAACTAAAATTTCAACTATCATCTGTAACTGAAATAGGAACTCGGTATCTTTAACTGCTTGAATGAAGCACATCATTTGCAAAACGAAGTGCCCACCGTATATTTTCCTTCTGCACTTTTTCTTTAAAAAATTTTATAGTATTTAAGAAAATATTAACATGCCAAATTATTAAAAATATTGACGTTTTTAATAAATTAGAACAAAGAATATGTAAGTACAAATTTCGAATCACATAATATTTTCTGTTATAATTTAAATAAAATAAAATAATGTGGGATCACCGGAATCGAGGACGGCGCTGAAATCGGTCTTACCGACGGTACGGCGCCAGAGGACACTGGAGGAGGGCGCTCCATACGGAGGGCGCTCAACAGGAAAAAGGGTTCTACGAAGTTACATATATAA